AAGCAACCTGGTCCAGACAAGGACCTCAACAACCAAACGGATGCCCTAGCCAAAGCAGGTGCACTACACGGCATTGCTAACATGCAAGCCTCTGACTCCATCAAAACCATTCTTCACCACCTCTCTGACCCCTCCAGCCACCCTATCACACCAGATGAACTTGCTGCTGCCCCAAGCCTCAAACGGCTATACTATGTAACACACATGCTGCGTGTAATAGACAACATTCTGTTTTATGCCCCTGATGACCACACTGCACCAAGGCTTGTGGTGCCACACTGCCAAAGGGGGGTGATGCTGATGTATGCTCACGACGCACCATGTGCGGGACACCACGGCACAAGAGCCACTTATGAGACACTGAAACAAGTGGCATACTGGCCCGGCATGCAGCAAGATGTGGCAGAGTACGTGAAAGGATGCCTTGTCTGCTGCCAATTCCAACCGGCTAACCACCTGTTCCAGGCATGCGACGACATCACAAGTGAACATGATATGATCATCTACTGGAAGAAAGTGAAAGGACACTCGAAGCAACCTGGTCCAGACAAGGACCTCAACGACCAAACGCATGCCCTAGCCAAAGCAGGTGCACTACACGGCATTGCTAACATGCAAGCCTCTGACTCCATCAAAACCATTCTTCACCACCTCTCTGACCCCTCCAGCCACCCTATCACACCAGATGAACTTGCTGCTGCCCCAAGCCTCAAACGGCTATACCACGTAACACACATGCTGCGTGTGATAAACAACATATATTTATTATTAATCATAACCAGTTATAATTAGTCATAAATATTTCCCTTTTGAGCTGATTTACTACAATGTTGCTACAATCAGATTTCTGATTTCATGTATAATTCTTTTGAAGATATGGTGCTTTATGTAACATTATCTAATGTAAGTGATTTATCTTTTTTGACATGTGTATGGGCTGTGTACAGGCCACCAGAGCACCATACAGACTTTAAAGGGGTCATATGATGTTGCTAAAAAAGAACATTATTTTTGTTCATTAATTCATAGACACATTTTTTTATGACCTTCCTATCACGCATATCCCCAGGTCATTTTGTATGTTGTTACTGTTCTTGTATATTGTCTTTTGTATTGTATACTGTTTTATGCATGCTTCTGATAGAACCACTCGTTCATGTAATCTTACCTATATGTAATCTTACCATGTTTAGTATCTATGAATTCGTCTTCTGATGACTAACCCTGCAGTACATAAAATAACACCTGACCCCTTCTCCAACAGCAGCACTAATTTAATTCCGTACCCGACCCAACCCGTTTGACATAAAGACTATGACCTGAACCACATCCACATTAAATCTACATCCGGTAGGCAACAATTTTTTAAAATTTTTTTATGTAACACAAACAATCAAACCAACATTAGGCATTCTGAGTTGATGCACTGAAGAAAAATAGACACATGCAACATGGTAATTAACAGAAAAAAGATGAGAACATGCATCCGTTGTGTAAACAATACAAAAGTTTTTCCTGCATCATGTTAACAATCTGCCCATATCGACTATTTTGAATGTGCATAAACCACATCATACACACCATAGAGGGCGAACCAACTCCAAGTTAAGGCTAAAAGTAGGCTAATGTTAGTGTAATCTATTAGCTGCACACCATAAACCCATCTTTTTAGGCAAGACATGGGTGTCATGTCATAAAATATTTTTTATGTGGCTAAATTTGTATTTAACATGATCACAATTTAATAATCACCTTGTTATTAATCGTAACTCTTTCATTTCCAAGGTTATATAAACAGCTAATAAATTGTTTATGCTTAGAGAAAGATATAAAAAGAACATTTAAAGGGGTCATATGATGCGATTTCAAGTTTTCCTTTCTCTTTGGAGTGTTACAAGCTGATTGTGCATAGATAAGATCCCTGAAGTTGCAAAGACTAAAGTCAATTACGGTTTGAAAATAATTGGAATACCAAAACCTTTTAATTAAAGATGAGTCCACATAATTTTGGTAATTTATACATCCACCTCCCCTCAAAAGGATGTCTTCACAACTCATGTTGTAAGATTCCACCACCTGTTAGTAGCTATCAAAGAAACTTAATATATGTTTGTGAATGTTGATGTAAATACCTCTTCCTCTTCTGCTTGTACCTCTGGAGCCACGCCCCCTTCCACGGATTGTAGGAGCAGAAGTGGACTCTTCATCTGACTCCACAGCAATGTCAGCTGGCTCATCTGATAGGTTGAGGTCATCATCTCTAACAGAATCACTGCGGTCCCTATGAGCTTTTGCACGAATTATAGCCTGAAACAGAATAAATGTTGCTAGGTTAATTTACATAGGAATGTCAGTAAATTATGAATGTGAAAAGAAGTTAATGTGTACTGTATAGCGAGCAAAAGAAATAAAAAGAGACCTCTTGCACTTCCTCATCCTCTTCTGCTGTGTTTCTCTTTGAGTCTCGAAACTGTCGAATCTAAAGACACATGCAAGTAAAAGTGAGACCCTGTAATATTGTCTGAGCCATGATTTATTGATTGAGATGTACAAACAAGAGTAGCTTCCAAAGCTACTCTGTTCCAAAATCAGCCTTATATAACCAACCTTAAAATAAATCCTATAATACATTTTAATGTATTAAATATATTATTTTCTTTCAGAGCTTTATGTTTTTTTCCAATGTTAAAGTTTTAACTCTTTCCCCACCAAACACGGAATTTTCCGGGTTTCCATGTTTTCACTGTTATACGCTCTGGGGCACAATTACGTGTTTCCTGAATGAATCTAGAAACACTCGATCAAAAACACAGGCATGGAAGACGCAGAAACGAGTGATCTCGTTTGAATTGTTATTTCTCCACTCAGTCATGTAAAAGATTTGCTGCCTCTTATGCTGACCCACTATTGCCTGAATTGTCTTCTATGCAGGATGTGAACAGACTTTTTAATTGTTTTAATCAAAAATGAAAAAATTCTCTCATGTACTCATGCCATCGCAAATGTATATGACTTTTTTCTTCAGATGAACAAAGATTTTTAGTCCATATAATGCAAGTGTACAGGACCACTTCAAAAACCACACAAAGTGATCTTGAAGGTCATTTTTAAAATATTATTATTTGTATATATTTTTTTAACTTACACACTCCTGTAAGACATTGATTTATCAACAGGGACTGTACGTGTCATCTTCACTTTGTGTAGTTTTTAAAGCATCATCTTTGGACATCCTGTACACTTGGAATTGTATGCAGAGAGATGGATATTTTTTCTAAAAACCTTAGTTTGTGTTCATCTGAAGAAAGAATGTCATATACATATGGGATGGCATGAGGGTGTAAAGGATGGAGTATCCATTCAATGGCTGTAGTTTTAGTGCTCAACTGGACTGCGTTTTAATTGTTGTCGTATGCCAGTGATCCTCAAATCTGGCTCGCTAGATCCACTTTGAGTTTAGCTCTAACCCTAATCAAACACCTGAGTTTGCTAATCAATGTCTTCCGGATCATTCGAAAATCACAGGTATAGTTGTTTGATTAGGGTTGGAGCTAAACTCCGCAGGAAAGTGGATCCCGCGAGCCAGATTTGGGGATCACTGTCGTATGCACTAGATAGATGTGTTTCACCTGCAGCCATTGAGTTTTCTCCCTTTAACAAAACGTTTGTATGTCTGCCCGACAAAAGATTTAATGCAGTTTATTTTTAAGCAATTTCACTTTGCATTGAAAAGACAATTCAATACGATGAAACAAGAATCTCCTTTCTTTTTCTTTCTTTTAGCTAGGTTACTTCTACTTTTTTAATACTTGAGTACAATTTACACCCTCAAAATGGTAACATAAAGATGTTGTTTCTTGAAAGAGTAAGATTGTCACAGGAAATTATAATTAAGTAAGCTCATTGTGAAAGCAAAGAATGCCATTGAAAAATTATTTGAATGCCTTGTTTAATTAAGATTTCTCACTAGATATTCCTTAAATGCTCCTCCTTTTACCTCCTCATCAATCTTCTCCTCTGTGGCTTCCACCCGTCGTTCTCGGAGGTAGCGTTGGGTTTTCTCCAGCTGGTATTTTATGAGTTCTTCTATAGCATCTTTCTCCTCCTTATCCACAAACTCCTGCACTGCCTTTCCCATGCCTTGCTCCGTCAACAGAGACAACTGCACATTCTACACACAAACACATACAGAAATGCACACCATTACGTGCCGAAATATAAACAGTGGGTAGATAACTTTAAATTATAACTATTTTTAACAAATTTATTACACACACAGTTTCTAAACTCATTATACTCAATATACTTATCCATCAGTTTACAAAAACAAGTAAAAACAATTAATTCAGGGCAAGCCTGCACCTTACAGACAGATGCCCATAAAATAAAATATAATAAAATAAAAGCAAACAAAACAAAATACAACAAATTTACACAAGATGTTTTAAATTAAAATATGATAAAAATTTGAAATGTTTTTGAGTCTTTTAGAGACCTTACTAATTAAAATCACATTTACTTGAATTAGAAGCAGAGCAGTCCAGTAAGACGTGATTAATCAGTCAGAAAATGATAACTTTGCAAACGTCTGCTACAGTATCAGAAAAAAAACAGTGCAATATTAATAATCTGCAATATAGACTCCCAAATAATTAATTCCAATTATTCTCTGCTATAGGAGTGGAAGAGCAGTCTAAACTTGAGAAATCTTGAGTATTTTGGGCAGTATGGCAATATTTTATTTGAATTCAACCTCTAACAAACACGTAAACAGAAACAAACAATTCACATGTAATAGCTGCATCATAAATGAAGAATCTATCTCTTTCACCAATTTTAGCATGATGGCATGTTCATTTGATTTCATAATAGAAGTCTGAATGATGCGTACAATTTTGCTGTATACTCCTGTTAAAAATTAATTAGTAACTTCTGCTATATAATTACTTTTAAAAAAACAACGATATAAAGTTAATCAAGATTAGAAAGGTTTAGAATAGGATTCGACTGTAATAAACGAGCATCCCACTAGCTGAACAGATACCATTAAGAGGTTAAATAATCATGTTTAACAGCAGAATTCTTCTACAATCAGTAAATTGAAACAAGCTAACAAGCAAGTGGACTCTTTAACACCCACCCACTTCCATGAAGCACTGTGAATAATGTCTCCATACACTCTCAAACTAATTAAATATGTGTATATACATATATTTTGCATATCTTTATAAACAATCAACATCTTTAAATTAATAGTTTTATATGTACTTGTCCTTTTTCATTTGATTAAATCAATGCTTCATGGGATGTAGTTCTGTCCCTCTTAAAAGCTATTAAGAACACAGTCTGGGACCCATGCCATTTTGTCCAATTTTCAAATACTCTTTTGCTTCACAACAAAGTTTGCAATGTTTGAGTTTTCACCTCTGGTTAGTTTGGTTCAACTCTTTAACAAAGACTTTAAAAAAAAAATCCCACTGGGAAAAATGCGTACAGAACTAAAGGCTTCTGAAAAAAGTGATTTTATATACTGTAATGTCAAGCTTCTAAGCATTAAATTATACCTTTTAGTTTTTTAATTTTGTAATTATTTTATTTTTTGTGGAATGTGCTCTGGGCTTAACAGATTAACCAATAAGATCTTGCAAATAATAAAAACAACTATTAGTTTTTTATAAAGCTTCATCAAAAGTAACAAGAACCTTTCAAAAGAGACCTACTTATGCATTATTCTGTGGAAGGTTTGAAAAGGACTGAGCAGAATGTTGACTGATGACTGATCTGTATCCTCTACAAACAGACAAACTACAAACCTTCTCAGCTTTCTGAAAGTATTCCTTCACAAGATCTTCCACTCTCAGCTGTAAGACCTCAGAGGTGGGACGAGAGAGAATTGCTTCAAAGTCCATACCTTCTTCTGCAGAACACACATAGCATAAACTTAAATACTAATCTAAAAATTGTTCATATGCAGTCATGAAAGATGTTCAATTAATTAGTAAGCCACAAGCAACGTTTTGAAGTAGCATTAGTGAAACTGACATACTTTACTGAACCTTATGTCATTCCAAACCCACATGACTGACTTCCATCAAACTTTTAAAGAAATGTGGTTGTTTTTTATTGGCTGCTCTTTATAATGTAATTACAATGACTGGGACTGTCAAGCTTCAAAACGGACACAAAGGAAGCAAAAATGGATCTCAAAAGTGGTCTATATGATGTATGCTTTATACCAAGTCTACTCACACGACACAACACGACAAATCCCAGACAATAAACTGATGCCATGTTCTATTTATGATGGATGCGGCACGACACAACACGACAAATCCCAGACAATAAACTGATGCCATGTTCTATTTATGATGGATGCGGCACGACACAACACGACAAATCCCAGACAATAAACTGATGCCATGTTCTATTTATGATGTACTTACACAAAGTTCAAATGATTTGCAACGTCTGCTTTATCATGTCTGGTGTAGACATGCTGTTACTTACACTGTTAAAGAGTTGGATTTTCATGTTAAACATGGCCAAAGTAAAAAAAAAAAAGTATGGGCACTTCTCCCAGAAGAGTGCGCACACAGCAACCAGAGCGAGAGCAAGAGCACGCCCATCAACGTGCTTCATTCGGTTACGGAAGTCGTCAGCAGTGCTTCACAGGACTTGCTCGAGAAGAATGTCTCCAAACACGTGTGTTTTTGGATGTGTGGGAAAGACAATCTTGTTCAGCTTCCCAAAGAACCCAGTGTTACGTGAACAGTGGATGCAGTTTGTTTTTCTGGGGCATCGATGGGGTTTTGCAAGTGTGATTGTTCCCATCATTTCGGTGACGAATGTTTTATAAACAAGACCAGTTCGATGCTGGATTTGCACATCATTTGATACCAAAAGATGGAGTAGTCCCAGCGATAAAAGATCCCCGTCATGAGTCGGAACCGCAGGATGCAAGTAAAACTGCATACAATTTCTGTGTTTTGTTGGCTATATGTGCGCAAGTGCTCTCAACTCTTTAGCTCCACCCACGGCACGTCTCCAAGAGCTCGGCTGTTTTCAGAGGGAAGCGTAAAGCTGTATCTTTCTTTTATAACCCTGATAAAACTAAAGACTCTTCAGAGATATGAAGGATGCAATACTACTCTATACTCAAGATTAAGTAACATGAGATTCGCCGAAACGTTTAGTGTTATGTCCCCTTTGAGCAGAGAATCCACAGATATCACAATATATTGTTATCGTGAAATTTTTTTGCCACAATAATCGTGTAGTGAAAATCTGATATTGTGATATTGTGTACCCATTTACTGTTATTGCATGTGTAAGAAAAAAAATGGTTTGAATTCACATTTTAGGACAGGACACTGTAAGACCTTACACATGGATAACAGCAAACAGTATTCTTCAAACTTTGTACTTGTATGTTCCACAGAAGAAAAAGTCATATGGGTTTGGAAGGACATAAGGGAAGAAAACAATCCCAGTTTATTTTGGATGAAATATTCCTCATAAAATAAAAACACCCTAATAAAACCAAAAATAAAAACCATGAAAGTGGTTCACCTAATAGTAACTATTTCGAAATGTACAGAAATACGTGCTTTCATATAGGGCTGGGCGATATAGCTAAAAAATTGATCAACGATATAATGTTTCATATCGTAGGGTATCGATAATTATTGACATTTTTATAACCTTTTTTAAAACAAAGAGCAATAGAAATTTTTTTTTACATTTAATCACTGTATTTTTAAATTAACCCAATTTATTGAGACAAACAACAAATATATTTTGTTTTAACAGTCAAACACACAATAAAAATTAAACAAATATCTAATTTCTAATGTTTTATATG